TTAATGAATGGATTGCGACATCCGCAAGTCCCTCTTTGTGTGATGGGTGGTGTCTCCGATGTAAGTGGGGTGTGGAGGGGAGCTCGGCAAATCGCTGCCTTCCAAATAGATATAATCAATGATGCGAATGTGAAGCGCAAGTACAAGGGCGCCCTTATCATGAGTCGTGTGAATGTGATCACACGGGTACAAGACGCAATGGCGTATACGCCAGATGTGCAAATGGAATATGCAGATAGACGAGGTTGAAATGCAGAATGTCTTTTATTGTGAGATATTATAGATTACTTACTACTAAGAGTCTATCAGGTTGGAAAATCGCGTCGTCGCTAAGATGGAAATTGAGCAGCCGGCTCCATAGCCAGCTTGGTAGGTCGCTAGTGTAAGCATTCCCATGTCATGATATCACTCGGAATGGACCGATGAAGCAAGGTAAAAGCTTCGAGCTTTTCAAGCTGAAGGCATCATCTTAACGCGGGCATAATCGAAAGTGGTTTTAGAGCCACGGCTTTGTCGCGAGGGTCGAAGCTTGAACCCCTCGGCGAAGTCACCTTAGCATCGCCCTCGGAATACGGGAATAATCGGGAACGACCGAAATAGTGCGAGACTGTTTGGCAGGAGGACCCGCATCATCAGCAGAAGCTGCTGCAACAAGCGGGAAATCTTGCAGAGTCTGTTTCAATTGATCAATCCGATTTTCAATTGCGTCACCAGGCGAGTTTCCATGACGCCATGCAAAGTATCAAACTTCGAGAACGACCTATTATCCTCACGCGTTGTTGCATTACCTTCATCAGTCGCGGGCTCATGTGCAAGAGAAGCTTCTTCACTTTCGTCAAATGCAGTTCCAAGGGGAACGCGGACTGTGGGCCAGCCACAGAAGGGCAGAGGAGACACCCGCTCCGGGCACCTCCCCCTCTTCTAGATCGACAAGGAAAGCGATACTACTACGTCGAAAACGTGGTGGCGGAGAGAAATCCAGAGGTCGGAAGGAGCTCTTTCTGAAATATCCATTGAGCGAGAATACGTGGCCCTGTACTCGTATTCGTCGCGACTTTCCCAGTATCGTTCGCACGTTTGATGCGGGTCCAAAGATGGGCCCTGCTTTGAAAAGATAGCCATTCCTCTTTGCTCTGTATCCCGCTCGTCTTGAAGCCGTCTGATGGCTGAGCGTTCTTAACGTGTATCCTCGATCTCGAACTGAACCCGTATCTGCGGTGTCAAATTGGCAAATCGAAAACTCATATCGCTTTCCTTCATCAAGTCAGCAGCGATGCGTTTGCTTTGCAAAAGGTGTATGTCCACGGATTTGGTCGAATAGACCCATGCCCAGACTCGAGTGTCGATTGTCTGAGTGCTATCCAGATTGGATTGCTGGACATATGGAACATACGTGAAACTTCGTGGTGTGCCTTCAGCACGAATCA